AACCTTTCACAACAGTTCCCAGTTCCCGGGTCGAGAACCCCGACTTATTTCTTTTGGGTCGCGCCAAAGTTGCGCCATATTTCTTGAGTCATCCAAAGTCGCGATCTATCTCGCTTTGTGTTGCTCAAAGCCGCGCTGCTCTTTCTAGGGTCGCGCAAAGTCGCGGCTTTTCTCGTTTGCGTCGCGATGGTAGCAACATAAGTCGCTTACATCGGCCCGGGTGACATTGAATGAATTGATACATTAAATGCTATTTGCAATGCTGTGTAATGGAAGAATAATAATTCAGATAACCTTTAAAACCTCCCTTCTTCGTTCAGTCTTACTTTAAGTCAAAAGACAGAAGTTCAGTGCCATCAGTTTATGATATATTTTACTAAATTAGATGAAACAAGACTGCTCAAATCAGGTCGAGTCCCTGAATGTTCCGACTGCCTTTTAAGGTCAGTAATAACATTGAAAGTAGTTCAAATGTAATAAAAGAAAATAAAATTTTTTTTTAAAATTTGAATTTTTTTTTTGCGAAAAAATCCCTCCACACGCCATATTACGTACAAAGTGATAAATTTTGCTCCTAATAACAAATCAAATATGGCATATAATCTTCCTTGAACCAATTTGGAACGATTTATAAGACGGATTAAATCTCGCTTACGCGTTTATAGCGCGAAACATATCGCGCGTTAATTGTCCCAAATTGGCCAAAATGCCCAAAATGGCAATATTTAAACCCCCATAATTTTAAGAAAAAAGATCACTGGTAAAATATCTTTTCGAATTTAAGCTTAGGACAACAATAGCTTTCGAATGATGTAAAAAAAGTTCCCTCAAAAATGGCTAGATAAAAAGTCGAAATTTGTCTGAAGAAAAAAACCCACCCCGAGCACAAATATTCCGTTACTTTCGTTACAAAAGTCGGAACAATAATTGTGAAATGCCAGTTCAGTTACGCAACACAAGCATCATATTAATTGAAACTCCATATCTGAAAAATTCAAATGAATAAACCAAAGTATTTTTCAAAACATTTGAGACTTTGAAATAATTTTTTTTTTAAATCATTTTTTTTTAATTATACGAGACATCAGAAAAGGAACAATGCGCTCCTACCACTTCCGCGGCTACTAGTTGGTTTAAATTTCCAGAAGACGACGGAATGTTTTTACTTGGGAGGTTTGTTTTTTCTTCAGACAAAATTTGGCTTATTAACTTACCATTTTGCAGAATTTTTATATACCATTTGCAAAAGATGTTATCCAAAGCTCAAACTCGAAAAAAACTAACATGCTACCATTTGTTGCTAAGTTATTGTGGATTAAATTTTAGGACTAGTTTGACCACCAAGATATTGAAATAGCGATAATTACCGCGTGATATTCATCGTCATATTAAAAGTAAGCGGCGGATTTTGTTTGAATCATTCCAATTGAAAGGAGGCGGTCAACATGCTCTTTTCTATTGCGGTGGCAGGCGCAATATTTTTCATTTTGCGCGTTACATGGCGTGAGTATCACAAATCTAAAAACAAAAAAAATCAATTTCTTTTCATTTTCTTCCCAAAATATTCCATATTCCTCAAAAGAGCAATCGAATTTAATTTGGTTATAATTTTTATTTGAATACTTTTTGAATTGGCAAAAACACAATAGAACACACTAGCACTACTTGAATTGTTTGCTACGTCTAAAATACTAGTTTCTAGTTCAAACTTTTGGAGTGCTTTGCTGGTTTCACTGTCCTAATAAAAAGCTAATTCATGATATGTTTTCATCTTTGTATGTTCAGCCGTAATAAAGTTGCTCAACTCAGAAGTAGCAAAATACTAAACTAAATTCCTTAATATTATGCCAAATTTACAAGATGATTTACAATTTTTCCAGCAACCAACGGTTCGTTGAGTACTTATGTGTTTGTTTTTTTTTGTTCTGGCCAGCCTGAGAGAAGGCAAAAAAACAAACGCCTTGGGTTTTTTCATGCTGTATTTTCTGCCTGAAACAATGTTTAAGTGCTTCAAACGAAAAATTTCAATAAAACAATTTCAGTTAATAATTGGATTCAAAATACACCAAAAATTTTTAATTATCTTTGTGATAACAAACTGGTATCTTTTTTGCCAGTTGTTTTATTTTTTCTACAACACAAAATGATTATTTCAAAAACCATTTTTCAAATTATTTCAAAGTTTTTCAGAGCCGCTTGTAACCGCTTGTAACGGTCAGTTTAATTTTTTTATCGAGAAAAATGAGAAAAAATATGAAGCAAAAGCAGTTTTTTTTATTTCTTAAACTTTTTGACAACCTCCAAAAAATTTAGGAAATTACTATGGTAGGAAACTCTAGTGCTAGTTTCTCAGCAAACAAACGTTTTTGTTGTTACCAACACTTCACGAAGTGGTAAAAAATTATAGCTTAAGCTCTTCTTTTGGGCCAATTTTTGATACTCGCTGTCGTATTATCCCATAAAATATTTCCTAGAGTGCCACATGTGGCAATTTTTTGAAGCCTTAATTGTTTTTCTTCGTATTCCAAAAAATCACAAAAAAAGTGTTTCAGTTATTCGAACGTGAGACTCAATTTTCAGCTTCGTTTTTCAATAATAATTAATCTTAGTTTCTTAGTTCGTAGGCTTTTTAGTCCAGCCTGTTTTGTTCACTTTCCCAAAATAAACAAGACTGCTCGTATCAGGGCGAAGCCCTGAATGTTCCGACTGCCTTTTAAGGTTTAGGAAGCAGTAATAACATTAAAAAAATAAATGTAATAAAACAAAATGAAAAACTTTTTTTCTAAATTTTGAAACTTTTTATTCAAATCATCCCCAGACACGCCAAATAAAGTACAAAAGGATAGTTTTGCTCCTTGTAAAAAATCAATTATGGCAATGAAGCTTCTTTCAAGCTATTTGGAACAATTTCTAAGACGGATTAACTCTCCGCTTACACGTTAATAGCGCGAAATATATCGCGCGTTAATAGTCCAAAATTGGCCAAAATGGCAATCTTTAAACCCCCGTAACTTAACAAAAAAAGGTCACAACCGAAATATCTTCTCAAGTTTGAGCTCAGGACAACAATACCTTTCGAAAGATTTTAAAAAATTCCGTCAAAAATGGCTAGTTAAAAGTTAAAATTTGTCTGAAGAAAAAAAACCTACCGCGAGCACAAATTTTCCGTCACTTTGGTATCAGAAGTCCGAACAATAAAATATCAAATAATACCACTTGAGTTTTTTAAATAACCTTAATTTTTCAAAATAAAAACTTTTTGGTCAGACTACTTCGTTTTTGTTTGCACAGCAACCGGCTTGCTTTGTGTATTATTTTAAATTCTTTTTTCCAAAACTAATCGTTTTTAATTCCAACCTGTCGCACAAAATATTGTGAATAAATGCCGCCAAACTCGATTGTCTTCAAGTTAATTTTACATTTTCCGCTTAAGGATTCCTAGGAACAACTTTCGCTTCGCAAATGTAGCAGGTAACTTGAAATTTAGAAATTGATCTGATCAAAAGTCCTTCGTCATAATTTTTTTTACCAATTGTTGTCTTGAGGAAGGACAAGCAGGCTCTTAGCATACTGATAGGGCGTTCACTTGGGAGCCGCCAGATTGATCAATTGATCTCATGTCATGACCATGGTAGTGTATGCGCACAAATTAATACTAGTTTTCTAGCTTCAGATCTACCATCGGTTGCTATAGTAGTGCCAAGTCAATATTCTAGCCGCAAAAACCAGCCTTGAGTCGCAAAAATTGAGCTTCCTTCAACTTAGTATAGAATTTGTGGGAATAATAAAAACGGAGATTGTCTAGACACGCTGGATAGCTTTTATTAGATCTTTTCTGAATGGCAAAAACATAAATTTTTATTTTTAGTAAAAGCAGGACAATAAATTCTTTTTTCTAATTAAATTTATGAATAATAAAAACGCAACGTCAGAAAAGAAATTAAAATCTAGCTTGTAAAAACTTCATCAAGAGAATTATGCAATTTCTCTCTTCCAAAGTTTTTTTGATTCTCAGTTTAATGATTTATCATCTAAATTTTCACTTCTTACACCGAGAATTGAGAATTTCTTTTAAGAAACTATTAACGAAGCAAGACTGCTTGCAGCAGAAAAACGACTTCCTTGCTTCATATCGGTTTTCTAGCTTAAGGTTCTGATAGTACTTCATCGATTTATACGTGTCTTCCAGTCAACAGAATGAAAATATTTATTAGTCGTATACACGCTGCGCTTTAAAATTTTAAAATTTGAATTTTTGCGCATTATATTTGATGGCTCAGTACACCTATATATTTCGGATGGTACCAAAAACTCCGCAAAAATTTTTTGCAAAACACTAGAAGTTTGTCTTGGCAGAAAAAATCATCGGACCAATATTGTTTTATGTAGTGTTTATAGAAATATAAATCCGATGAACATCAGAGCTGAACGAGATAGACAATTCTATGGAACCTCAAAGCAACCTCGTAGATCAATTGCATGAAATTGTATGACTTGTATGACATATATGAAATGAAGACCATTTGATTGGAAAAATTGCTAAAACTGACACAGCGCTGTTTTTCAGTTATTAATTTCACCATTCCAGGAAAACATAATGAAACATTAAATGTTTCTAAAAAAACTTGAAGATTTTTGTCTTGTCGATTTGCGCAAATATCAATTTAATACTTTTTTCAATCATTTTCGTTGTTTTAGTTTTCTAGAGAAATTGTTGCTGGCTTAAATTAATATATTTAATTTTAAACGCAGACAACTATAACTTGTAAATGTGATTTTTGGCTTAAGCTACGATGCAAAACTGGCTTATAAAAACAGTATAATAAAGACGTTTTTAGACATCATTTTCATTGGCATTTCCTTTTACATCGAACGCAGGAAAATGTTTTTCAACCACCAGTGAAAAAATGTGCGTTGATTGGCTAAAAAAGACACCGGTAAAAAGTTGTTTTCCTCTTTGATTTAAATTCAAAAGTTGATGAAATACTGTTTCAGATACCGCAAAGCCCTGTCAGGTATTTGTAAAAAAGATCGTTTCCTCATTTTGAATTATTATAACTTTGATATCAGCGCTGTTGTAGCATTTTTAATAATCATTTTTCACCCAATTACGAAGTAAAAATGCTTTCTGAGAATTTCTTCAACAATTCTTCAGTTATTTACCAACTACAAAAAAATATTCGACAAGTCTTACTTGAACTTTGAGGGCCATTGATGCAATCGACTTATAATTGCAAATTAGCTCTCAATTGCATAACTTACAGCTCTAATTGCTTTCCCTTTGTCATAAATGATCGCGCATGTTTTTTGACGTTATTTTTACTTCAAAAAATTGATTTCAAATATTTCTGCGACATTTGAGAACGTTTTATCCGAATTTAGACCGACAGAACTCTGATCAGTTACGATACTTGCACTTGTTTGCAATATAATTACATTTTAGATCAAATCACAAACTTAGTGCTAAGGTCAGTTTAAATTTAACCCATTCTTCTTTATCAAAATACACAGCTAGATGAAGGTTTGTCTGATATAACTATCAATTATCATTTAGTTAATCAATTTTTGTCAACATTACTTTCTTATTTATTATTTCTCGGTAACTTTCGCATTCCAATAATTTTCGACCAATTGTTGCAAATAGTCATTAAAAATGTCCGTTCAACAGAATTCAACTAGCATTCCAAATTTTGCTCTAAGTGTAGCAAACATCACTTGTTTTCTTATAAACAACACTCTATTGCAAAGTCCTTCCGAAAACACGACTTCTGTTCTAAGCGACACTGACATGTCTTCGGGGTCAAACTGTTCCATGTCTGGTGTCATTGGTGATGAGATGACAGGTCACGTGATAACGGAGGGGGGAGGGGCCAGTGATGTACATCCGGCACATGTTCTCATGGGACCAGTGTACTCAATCTTGAGTGTTTTGGGCATTGCTGGAAACCTAACAGGTAACGTCCTTTTTAATTCATAAGGTTGCTTATGCTTCTACTCATCCCATAATGCGCCCAAATCTTGGCAGCCAGAATTGAGGGGGAGGGGGGATCCTTTTCGGGACGATACTCTTTGACTCTAAAATTTAATAGTAATATAATAATATTGAGTGAAAGTAAAAAATCTTCCGTTGCTCACGAACTTGACTTGAATAACTACTTTTATCATTCAGAGTATCGTAAACAGGGAAAAAAGGGGGATCCTTTGAGCGGAAAGGGTATCGTTGGACTTAGAAGAAAAGGGGGGATCCCAGACCCTTGACTGCGCCACTGCTCGACCCCAAGTAAAAAATTATCAAAGAGTTCTAGCGGTTCAAAAATATGAAATAACTTTTATAACCCGAAAAAATAAATGGAATTCAAAGTATGTTATTCACTTAAAGGGCAAACTAAGTTCTTACTACTGCTAAGCAATTATCTTGTTTTTTGATAAATATTCGATCAATATTAAAATCACCGCTCTGAAGAATGGTAGTATTACCAGATGAGATGGCGCGAATACACTTGTTTTTGTTTCGATCGATCAGAATTTTCAGCTTTTGGGAGATTTTCTTCCAGATCTGTTAAATTTGGTAAAGTTTGGGTGGGTGTGAGGATTACCCATTTTCTTCAATTGTGGTTAACAGTCTGATAAATCAGAGATATCTAGTTCCCCCTTTGAGTTTTTCTGAAGTTCGATGTGTAAAATCTATTTAAAATGTTTTTTTTTAATGGTATAAACTGCGTTAAAACGTGTCAGCGTGAACAGGTGAACAATTTTTTACATTTTAATATGCAAAATGTCGCGTGAACAATTTTTGATCAGCTTTTTTTTGTAATTTTACGAGGGGCGGAAAACAAGAAAAGAGTTACAGAAATTGAAGCATTGAATGAGTACTGGAGCACTGCTATTTTCAGTTATTCTGATGATAGCAAAATCAGTGATAATTATTGTTTTTTAAATATTGTTTTAGTGTTTTTAAATAATGTAAAATGTGACCCCTGCCAGGATCTGATCCCCCAACTTATCGCTCCTCAGTTCGCTTTGTTACCTCTAAACCATATCTGCTGTGGGCTCTTTTCCCTTCCCCCTTCCCACCTCAGTGCGTTATAAGGTTAAGTATGAAGACCAAATATGATTGACAAGGTCTATTTAGTCTGCATGCAAATTTTTGTCACAATCGGACAATGTCAACAATAAGTTTACTAGTAAAATTTTGCAGGTGGGGGGGGAGAGTTTTGCTGTGCTCTGCTTTTCACAGGGACCGACCCTAAATACCGACCCTAAAATTTTTCTGATTTTTTGGAAGTTTTGTACTGTTTTTTCCATAAACTTTTGCTGCGGTGCGGAAAGTTTTTTTATCGAATCGTGTATTTCTAGTGTCTTCAAGTTGCTCGTCATCTTTTTTTTTATAGCTGTATAGTTTTTTTTATGCCAATAATAGTCTGAACAACTTTTCCCGGTGATGATCATAAGTCAAGTTCAATTCATCAAAAAATTAGAATTCTAAGAATTTGTAATACAATAAAATTGCGATGACATTTTTGCAATTATTGATAAAGTTTTGTCCGTCCGTAACTTTTATGACGCACTTTTCTACTATCAAACTTTTCTGTTATCAAAACTGATATTTTTAAGTTCCGGACTTCAAATTCAAATGTGAAGCTAATTATTGAGAAAAATCTTATCAAAGCGCTTTAGAAGTTTTAACTTGTTTGACGTATTTTTTGTTCTGCTCTTTCAAGTCAATTTAATTGCAACAGTATCTTTTGAGGTAGTTTTTGGCGGCTTTTAGGCGACTTCACTACCATTTGCTCATCGCTGAATGAGTGTTAGATTCTGAATATTCAATTTCTAGATGTAACTTTGCAATTGATTCCAAGTAATGAGCATAATTGCTGAACACGTTTGCAAATATTTTGACTTGATATCAAACGTTTTCTGTTCTTTTCAGTGCTCGAAATCAATTTAATAATGATTTCACCATTATTCTGATTTCATCCAAACCTTTGAGGTTAATTGTTCTTTTTGTTCCGACTTTTGAAGAAAGTGACGCAATATTTGAGATCGGGGTGTTTTTTTTTCTCTAGACAGATTTCGACTTTTTAACGGAGATTTAATCCATATTAGAAAAAGCTTCAAATTGGGTTAAGGCATACTCTTTGGTCTATTTAGTAGTTTGCTATATGCAAAATATATCACTTTGTACTTTACATAGCGTGTGGGTGATGATTTTCAAAAAATACATTAAAAAAATTTCACTATTTTTGAAAATTTTCTCAATTATTTTTTAATTATACCATAGAAATTAAAACGCAGTCGGAGTAACTTCAACAAAGAACGCGGTCAGAGCACTCATGGCTGCACCCTGATACGAGAAGTCTTGTTTATTTAAGTTCTCTGCTACTTCCTGCGGGGTTCCAAGCTAGTGGGGGGACTGGGTCGATGCAAGAACTCTTCCTCCTCCTCGTCTTCATCCTCCTCCCCCTCCCTAGCACCCACTGAGCTGTGCGGGGCAATCAACATCTGCATGGTGGCTATTTCGGACCTGCTCATGTCTCTTCTGGCCGCCTACTATGCCGCTGGACAGTTCATGGGCAATCCGGACTTCCTCGGAACCATCTCTTGCAAGTTAGTATAATAAATAGCAAAAAAATCGGGCAGACTATTTCAATTAAAAGAGGACAGCTGGTTAATGTGCAAACAGCGCAGAATGTTCCGACCATAGTCTTAAAACACAATCAGTCATAGTCAATTAGGCTAGTTGGAAAACAGTTTCTCTAATAAGATGTCAAGGAAAACAAAAAAAAATCGTAATTTTTTCAAAGTTCAATTTTTTTGCACGAAATTGTTGAAATTTTGAAGCTTTTGGTTCCCAAAAACTTCAAGAACTAATTCTACTTGAGAAATAAATCTTCGCGGCTTAAGTTAAGCTTAAATTAGTTATTGTAAGCCTGTAAGCTTTATTTTGACAAGCCTTTTTAGCTCGAAAATAGACCAAAAATCAAAAATTTCAGACCGGTTTTTCTCGACACTGAGAAACAAAATTTTAAAAATTTTGAAAGTTCGAACTACGACTGAAAGGGCTTTTATATATTAAAAATAATTGGATCTATTCTGATGACTTTTGTGGTACGTGATTAGGCGTGGAAAACAAAAACCAAAAAAAAACACGCTCGAATACAAAATTCCTCCACTTTTTTCAAATGGTTGGAACAAAAATAAAATCTTTCAGATCGATGTTTTGTATCAAGATTGTCTGGAAAAAAATAGCATGTAGAAATCTGCTAAACTGGAAAGATTGATATTTTTATTGAATTCTGTCTGTCGGATTTTTTTTGCAACGTTCTATTTTACCTTTCTTTGCCAAGTTACTATAGCAAATAGTCTGTATATACTTAAGTTACCCGCTATGCCCGTCGAAATGTCTGAGTCGTTACATTATATGTTGTGCTTTGTTTTTTGGCCTTTAGTACTGGTTTTAAGAAGAGAAAAACAGCTCCCCCAGAGATTAAAATTTCACGTACAATAAACCCTGCCCTCATCCGCCCAAAAACAAACAGCGAAAAAATTGCAAAAAAAATTTTTGTAAAAATATTTTTAAGAGAAATTTCAAAGAACATTATTTCTGTTTCCAAAACTAACTATGATCGAAACAATCTGTGCTACTTGCGCAGTATCCGTCTGTTCTATTTTTCAATTTAAGTTTCCGTTTTTTTTTTGCAGTTTTGCTTGTTCTCAAAAAAACGGACCATGTTTTTTTGGCCTAGGCGGATTCTTTTTCTCTATGTTTTATCATAATTGGATTCAGTTTAATCCCTATGATCGTTTAAGGGTTAATAATTGCGTTTTTCTCGTAGATCTATAAATTGTAAGAAAAAACACTTTTTATTTGCAAATACTTTTTGCGCGACAGTCGTCTCGACAGTGATGAGATAATTTGGTACATGTTAATTAATTATATCAAAACAGCACTACGCAGTGAAAAATATCAATACATGTAGACTTTTTGCTTATTTCACCCTAATGATAGAAAAGTCATAGCCCTGATTCCAATCATGGTGTGACGTCTGAGCCTGTTTTGTACCTTTTTACGATATGGATTGATGAATTTCAGACAGCTTGGTTTGAAAAAAATGAGGCTTCATCAATCCGTATTTATATTATAATTCATACGATTTAATTTTCTTTTTATTAAGCCGTTAGCAACGTTTTAATTAAGCTCAGGCTATGTTAGTATGCGTCAGTAGCTCTGTCTTAGATGTTCGCGTGAACTTTTTTGCTCTTTTAATTGGAATTCTGAACATAATGTATTGTGTACGATCATGATGTTTTGCAAAAGCTTTCTCGGGGTTTTCTGAGTGGCACTTATGACGTTGCAGACGGACCTAATCACATAAAATTTCATTCCTTCTTCTTAATCGGTGATCAAAAAGACATCCTAAGGGATCTTATTTGGCATATCATCCGCACTAGGCAAATTTCACCTAATTTTATAGAGATGTTCAGCTTTATAAATCCAACCCAATTAGCATACATTTAGGTTCAATTTGGAATAAATTACGAGCCAGACTTGTCCGCCGCTTCTGTTTTTAGAAACCGGAAAAGTAATGCAAAGTAGTATCCTACATTGGCAGTTTTCAGATCCCTTTAACTTCATCCATCGAGACAAGTTAAGCTACTATTTTTTGGATTTTCAAATTCGCGCTGATGTTAATTCCGCGACCAAAAAATCATAGACGAGAAAGAGTATTATAGTCGCGGCCAAAATCTGTAATGGCTGCTCTTATCAGAGCGAAGTCCTGAATGTCTCACTGTCTTTTAAATTCTACGGAGTAGTGATCGCTAATTTTAAAATGATGGAATTTTCAAAAAAAAAATAGTGAAAAAAATTTCAGTTTTTTTAAAAAGTTTTTTCTTAAAATTATCCTCTCACACGCCTTGTTAAGTACAAAGTTATATACTTCGCATATGGCCTCTAGAAAAAACTGATCACATGTGAAATAACTCTTCAAATTTTAGCTCAAACAACAATATCTTTTGAATGATAAGAAAATATTTCGAAAAAATTGCTGGTTAAAAAGTCGAAACTGGTCTGGAGAAAAAACACCCTGAGCAGAGGAAAACACTTAGATCATTTTTTTGAAAGTTGGAAAACATCGAATTTCGGTGGCGATAGTCTAAAAATAAATCGCGATAATTTGAGAAAAAAAATATTGCGGTTCAGTCTACAATTTGGCCCCAGGAAGGGGGGCAGTGCAGGTGAGCGGGGGGAGGTTTCTCCCCCTCAGGCATTCGATCCCCTCACTAATCATCTAACTTCAGCTGACTAACCCTAAAAGTTTCTAAAGACGCCTTTGACGGCGCCAATATATACTAATTTTGAAAGGGAGCCACAGCAAAAACGCAATTTATTGGTCAAAATTTTCCAAATAGTGTCCAAAAAAGGCTTCTCACCTATTTTTTTTTCGTCAAAAAAATGACTGCGGCGCTAAAAGTTTCTCAAAATACGGTTTTTCTATTGTTCTGAGAGCACTAGAAAAATCAAATTGGTGAAAATTTGGTTTTGTTGTCAAAATTTTTGCCCCACTTCTGAGCTAGCGTGGTTGCAAATTGGATAGTTTTATATATTATATAATGTTTATATTATATAATATATATAAGGTTTTTTCCATTTGTAAATTCGACGATTCTAATACTGCTTATCAAGTTTCCCGTAGGATTAAATATTTTAGTAGATTTTTTAAAGATTTGCGCCCTTTTCTTTGTTTTTTTTTGGTTAATTTTTCTTTGGTCGCGGTTAATTTCTTTTTAATCGCACAGATCGAGATTAACTTTTCTTTGGTTGCGACAACTGCGATTATTTTGTTTTGGTCGCGGTTAATTTCTCTTCGATCTGGCAGATCGACAACGGCGTATTCTTTTTTTTGCTTGCGACAGCCGCAATTAAAGATCTTATTTACCTAGGTTTCCCTCGGGTTAGTGCCAGTTGGGCTGTACTGCCCGTACAGTAACCCTGATGCAGTTTATTAGTTCATTAATGTTCTGTTCTCTAAACTGTATCTAAATTCAAATTCAAATTATGTCGCCCCTGTCGTCAACAACCTTTTTACTGAGTCGCACCGGTCGCGGACACTTCTCCTCTGTCTGCAAAGTCTGGAAATACGGAAATTTGGCCCGTCCTTGATTGAGTTTTTGGTTGGGTCATATAAAACTTTGCTAGATACCATTTTTTAATCGATTTTTTGCTTGAGTGATACCAAAACTTTGTAAGGATTAAATTTTTTTTTCTAAATGCAAATTTCTTTCTAGACTTAGAGTTTCAGTCAACCCGTGAAACGTTGTACTTTTGAGTCGTCAGATTAAAAAGCAAACATATATAAAAAACACTACTCTTTGATTTATCAAGTCGCCAAATTTCCAAAGGTCAATAAAAAGAAACTGTCTATTAAATACTCGAGCGTGTGTCTATTATCAGAAAATAAAGTGGTGAGGTGCAAAAGGAAGTTATAAAATAATCTCATTAAAACAAAATTGATAAGTTAATAACTTTGAAAGGAATCAACAGGCGTCAATCAAAAACAAAAATTCAGGAAACAACTCTCGGCTTCTAAGTCCAATCCACAAATACAGCAAATGCAGTCATTATAGTTCACCTGAAAGTTTCAACACCCTTGACCTAGAAACATAGAAACAAATAGAGACCTAGAACCAAATATGTTTTTTTTTGGAAGTTTCAGTTTTATATTCACCTTTGGGTGTTTTTAATTATTCCCCCAAACTCGCAATTATCACAACGCGGAGACAGGAAATAATACAAAATTATTTTGGGCGGAAGAGTAAAAAGACCCTACAGCTCCAATGAAACCATTAAAACTTCTAATGATTTTTTGATACAATATGCGTGTAGTAGAGAAATAAATGGAACAGTTAGCTACGTCAGAGTTTCAGCGCTTAATCAAATGCATTTCATTAATTTTAAGTGTAAGTAAAGTTGATTGTATGTCTAATAGTATTGTAATGCAACACAGCTCATTATTTTTCCCAATTTTTTCGTTAGAAATGACAAAACCTGATAACTCAGAAAAAACTTTCAATTTCGGAAATATTAATTGTTTTGCCCCACAAGCAAAATCAAAAACTAGGTGATATATTTTGCTTCGATTATTAAATCAATATGAACGGTTCGAAAATCGATCAAATCTATCACAGGTTAATGAGGAATGGAAACAGTTATAAAGGTCGACAAAAAAATTGTCAAATCACGTGACGGATAAATTCGATGTCATGCAAAAATGGTTTGTAGAAAAAAAAATATGAAAAACTTATCAAGGTTAATGAATGGATTTTGAATCAAATCACAGAAGCCATTGAATAAGAAGCACATAAACTATAAACAACTCAAAAAAAACTTGGGGGGGGGGGGGGAGTCGGGAGCTTCTTCGTTCCCTTCGAAGGAAGAAGCCAAAAAATGTTTTGAAGTTTTTTTTATAGTGTTCTGAGAGCGCTCGGAAAATCCAATTGGTCAACATAAAAAACTTTGTATCAAAAAAACGATGAATTTTTTGGTTCCTAGCTCTATAGCGAAAGATTTTCTCAGAAACTCTATTTGAAAAGGCCTGTTTGACAAA